AAATGGTTACTACTGAGGCTGCCCACACCGAAGTGCCACCAGCTTCCCCGAAGTCGCTTGAGTTGGAGCAACCAGAGAAGAGAAAGAAGAGGAAACTGGTGAAGATGGCGGACGTCGGTGCTTCGTCCGGAGTCGAGAAAAGGTCCAAGAAGAAGCACGACTCCGGTCGCAAAGCGGCTGAAAAAGGTACCGATGACTCTCCCTTGTTTGAGAAGTCTTTTTTATCAATTGATGAGGAGCGGGCTGCCAGAGTCAAGGTGCCTGAGGGTGTGGTGGAGGACTGGTTTACCACCTTTTTGTCGGTGAAATCCCCTCATATGTCATCGAGAATCGAAATGCCGGAGAATGCGAGAGATGCTGCTCGGGTCCCATTGATGGTTTGGGACCCCAAATCCGAAGTGGGGGTCTCCTCTTTATCTAGTGTTGACAAGCTGAACTACGCCAAGGCATGTGTTGGCAGGGCCTTGATCAGTTTAGTGGCGGCCGAGGATGATCATCGCCGGGTCGCATCTCAATTGGAGGGGAAGAAGGATGTCTTAGCCGCACGTGATGTGGCGATTGTTCAGTTGAAGGAAGAATCGGCTAAAATGGAGGCCGACTTGCAGGGCCAAATTGCCGAGAAGGTTGCTGAGTTGGAAAGGGCGAAAGCTGAGGCTGTGACATTATCTGATGAGAAGAAGGCCTATGAGGCCGAAGTGGCGGATCTCAAGGCGCGCTTAGCCGTGGTGGAGCAGCATTTCAAAATTTCCGAAGTCAAGCTGATGGAGACCGAGAAGGCCTTATTGGAGGAAAAGGCTAATCATGAAGCAGCTCGTAGAGAGTGTGCCGAGACTCGCGAACTCGTGGGTAGGCAGCACAACGCTCATCAGGCCGACATAGCCAAACTCGAGAAGGAGAAATCTGCTTATGGAGAATTCATGTATGAGAACGGATTTCAGGCCGGGAAAGATTCGGTTATCGTGGAACCGAAGTCCGGGGACAATGCCGAGATGGATGCTGATGAGGCCGGTGAAGAGGATGAAGCCGGTGGTCCCGACCTCGAGATTGAGATGAACACTTGCTTGAACCTGAGGTGGATTATTGAGCGCTACGACGCCGGTTATTACGATATTGATGACCTTCGCTTGTTCCTCTTCCA